GTAATCTCAGATATATACTTACTACCTACAGAATACCCTATACATAAGGTAATGTCTGGGTTTTTGGTGGCAGACACCAGGTAGGAAGTCACTTGTCCACGAATTGTCAATATCACAACCACATCATACAATACATAACCTGAGACTTAGTATCGACCCTGATACTTTTTTTCTAATTAATTATAGTTTAAACCCCGATATTATATCTCATCGTTGTCGGATATGAAGATTAAATCTCATTCACGTGCAGCGTAGAAAAAAGAGGGTCGCCGAGTCAATATCATCTCGAGCGTCACCATAACGTCGACAACTAATCGTACCGATGCCCTCTCTCGGGCTCTGCCGACCAGATTCAATGGGAAAATCTCAGCGCCGTCTTCTAAGCCATCCATAAAACCACTTCTTCGCCGAAAATGGACGAGGAAACCCTCAAGGAAGCTCTCAATAGCTTTCCGAACGCCGAAAAAACGGCACCACCTGCAGCAGCAACTTCAGGATTGAACATCAACGCCCTGTTTGAGAACCCGCTCTTCGCTGGTGGGATCGGTCTTGCATCACTTGGAGCAGTCGCAGCATTTGCACGAAAAGGTGCAATTTCTGCACTCGGAGCTGCTCGTCGTCGCCTGCTCGTCAATGTCGAGATCAGCAAGCAAGATCCCGCATACCCATGGATCTTAGCATGGTTATCACAACCCCGCGAACACCCAGGCTTCATTGCTTCTCGCCTCACACGAATACATAACCTCTCCGTTACGACGACGACTGCATCTCGAACGGCTGGGGTTAGTGGACCCCAGAATGCGCACTTCTTCCTACAACCGGGTTTCGGACGACATATCGTCAAGTTCGGCAATGCGTACATTGCTGTGAACAGAGAAAAGCACAATACGGCGAATATGAATACTGGCGAACCACACGAGATTGTTCAATTGACTACGTTATGGGCGCATCGGCATGTTTTCGAGGCAGTTTTCAGCGAGGCGCATCAGTTGGCTGCCAAGGCGAATGAAGGGAAGACTATTGTGTACTCGGCTCGAGGAATGGACTGGGTACCGCTGGGCGATCCAAGGAAGAAGCGACCATTGGGTTCCGTCATCCTGGATGACGGCGTCAAAGAGAGTATCGTGGGTGACGTAAAAGACTTTCTGAACCGGCAACAATGGTATGTGGATCGGGGCATTCCCTACCGAAGAGGATATCTGCTGTATGGTCCTCCGGGCAGTGGAAAGACATCTTTTATTCAAGCCCTTGCAGGAGAGCTGGACTTTAGCGTGGCCATGATCAACCTCAGCGAGATGGGCATGACGGATGACAAGCTAGCCTATCTCCTTACAAAACTTCCCAAGAGGAGCTTGCTTCTGCTGGAAGATGCAGATGCAGCATTCGTCAACCGGCGCCAGCGAGACTCTGATGGCTATAGTGGTGCTACTGTCACCTTCTCCGGCCTCTTAAACGCTCTCGACGGTGTTGCTGCTGGCGAGGAGCGCATTGCGTTCCTGACAACCAACCACGTTGACCGTCTCGATGCCGCGCTCATCCGACCTGGCCGTGTAGATTTGATGCTTCGAATCGGCGAGGCCACACACTTCCAGGCTGCTCAGATGTGGGATCGATTCTACGGTGATGTCGATAAAGATCATTCCGGCAGAGAACGATTTCTCAACAAGCTCCAAGAACTTGGTCTATTCGGCGTTGGAGCTGATGGCAAACCATCGAATCGTCACACCAGCACAGCAGCAATTCAAGGATTGTTCCTGTTCCATAAGGACAATATGGAGGGAGCTATTAATGACGCTGATGGTCTCATCCCCCGAAAGTTTGAGGCTTCGGATGAGGTCCCAGAGGGAGCAATCAAGACACCAGCGTGATTGCATGAGCACTTGAAATTTGTATTAATATGTAACATATGACTGGCTGTTTTGATACCCTGGATGGAGCTTGAACGAAAAAATGTGTAAATATATGTGTATCGGTACGTGTAGTGAACACGAGGCTTAGGAAAGGAGTTTACTGCCTTCTGCGGCACAAATCCTATGTTACTGCTGCTGAATGGATGACATGATGATTTATCTGTAAAACCTAATGACTCCTGGAATGATATGCCGACCAATTGCAGACAGTTTTAGTTCCCCTCATGTTTGTCCAGGCTCGTGACTTTATCGTGGTTTGGAGTTTTTTGGTAAACAGGTGTTATTTGGGGCCACTGTTGCCTAGTATTTCATCTGAGCTCACCCACGGATATAGACTCAGTCATCAGCTTCAACCTCACAAGCTGCAAAATAAAATTCCGACCAGCCATTCCTCAGAGAGCAAGAAAACAGCGGAACTTAATATAAGGCATCAAATTAAACTTAGCAAAAGGTATCCTAAGTTTCTACTAAATTTAGGCTCAACTATGCTAACTTACCTTAGCCTTTTTGTCATTTACGGTCGAGGTCCTCAGTTTGCTTTCCTCCCCTAGCCATTTTAACGCACGCCTCAAATTATCCTGAATCAAAATTCCAGAAAGGCCCTCATCCAATGTCGTCCAACAGAGGTCAGCGAACGCTTGATGCGTGGATAAAGTCCAGGCCATCACGACCAGTTGCTTCAACATCTCAAGCAAGAGGGACTTCATCAAACCAGCACCCTTATCCACCCAGAAGTAGACGAGACGATCCATACAGACGCGGCGTTGCGCTGGCAGCTATAGCCAAGGAAACACTGACAGTCCTCCCTGGGATCATTTCTCAATTGCCGAATCTCGACCCCTACAGATCAGAGAAGCTCGAGATCCACCAACTACCTCCTCTTACGGCTGCCGAATGTCCCAGACGGACACCATCAGGGAAAGCAATTATTAGGATTTCCAACGATGACAGTTTCAATGCGGCTATACAACTTGCGGATCTCAAAGGACCCGCATCAGGTCGCGTTGCCGTGCTGAATATGGCAAGCCATGTCAGCCCGGGTGGAGGATGGTTGAAAGGAGCGCGTGCTCAAGAAGAAGCGCTATGCTATCGAAGTTCGCTGTCTCTTTCGCTAGACAAAAGATATTACCCATGGAGGCAACGCATGGGTATCTACACCCCCGATGTTGTCATTATCCGCTCCGACCAGGAAACTGGACACGGGCTTCTCATGCCTACTATCCAAGCCCAGAATCTACCCGTCGTCAGCGTTCTCAGCATCGCAGCCCTACGCACACCACCTGTCAGGGACATTGTGTTGAATACACCCAAAGGTCCCGTGGTCAGCAAAACCTATGCACATCGTTCTGATCGTGATCTCACCAAACTCAAGATGAGATTATGCCTTCGAATGGCAGCACGGCGAAACCACGGCTTGCTTGTACTTGGCGCCTTGGGATGCGGAGCGTTTAGGAACCCACCGGAGGAGGTCGCTCGTTGTTGGCTGGAGGTGCTGAAGGAGCCCGAGTTCCAAGGTGGCTGGTGGGAAGAGGTTTGGTTTGCTGTGTATGATCGCAGAGGCGAGGGTAATTTGGAGATTTTTGAGGAGATACTCGGTGGTGTTGAGGTCTAAGATGAGGATATAGACGAGGATATACCTAGCCGAGTAAGACTTAAGAAGCTTGCAAAAGCGCTGGGCATCAGTTTAGGCGTAAGCCAGATGTAATAGATTCCCTTCTTCTTCTCCGTCAATGTTAATTTATGCATACCAAGTGAAAGTCCTTTTTCATCCCCAGCCCCCGAGGAAAGCGATCGTCCAAGGGCACTGGCTGCATCACAAGACAAGCTTATGTTGACAAGAACAGAATATCATATCTTCCAATCTTCCGTCTCAGAGTCTCAAATATAACCATACCACTTGTTCAATTTGTTGATCTTCGTTGCTTTCCATCAAATTACGGAATCGGCCCGCCATTTGGATCCGGCAATGTGGAGCCAACGGCGCCGATGGTCCGGACAATCGGCGGTACTATAGCGTGCGTCTGTAGCTTAGCTCGGCATGTGAAATAGTGTCTTGGAAAAGCTTGACATTTAGATTAGACAGTCTGAAACAGAAAGAGAATGTGATTGGATGTTGGATGTCAAAAAATGAAAATCCCACGTTGGCGTTGTCTTTGGCTGAGAATCGTCATCACGGGTAATATGGCACAATTGATCAGGATTGCTTTAGCTGAAGCATAAACGAACAGGATCTTGACTAGCGAATAACCTACAGCCTCTGCCTTATAGTTAGGTAATTCTTTCTACACGGCTGAGATCTAAACTCCTGCTACAACACCCTTTCATCCTCAGGTTCATTTCAAGGATGCTTCAGTACTTGACGCTAGCAATCTCTAATAAATCTCCACTGATGTACCACTTTTATGGTTTGCAAACTCTTCCTGCGGGATATTTTGATGTCGTGATCAGCGGTGATTATTGCGTTTTAGGGAACCCCAGGTTTGCAACGCCACAAATGCATCCGAGAACGATAGATCCAAAAGGAATGAAGCCACATACAGATTCGTGTGGGGGTCTTTACAAGGGAACCAGAGAGCAGCAGCTCCTCAACATGGAAGAGACACACATGAGAAGTACAGAACAAGATGCATAAATACGCAGTCACACGTCTCTCTCTTGTGAGACTAGGGTTCTTTGAATCCTAGGTCCAGAATATACCCATCCTTTCAGGGTACCACAGGCCTCTTACTCGCTGCCATCCCAACCTCCGTGACCAGCAGATAAGACCCAACGAGGATAGCTTCTCGAGAACCCATGACGAGCGGGTCGATCCCTACTCCTGGATGCAGAACCCTACGCTCGCCTGCGTTAGACTGGCGGGCCTTTTGATGATGGCATAATTGCCATCCTGTCGCCTCTTAAACTAGCGTCTACTCTATCTCGACTTTTCTTGCAAGCCTTTTACAGAAGTTTTATATACGTATCCGTGAGCCCGAGACACTTTCCCTCCTCCCATTCCAGCGGCTGCGTCTATACATCAACAGCTTATCTTTCTTGGCGGTCACCTCTGATTCGCACCCCTCTTTGTCTGCAGAGGTTGTCATTGCCAGTATGGCGTTCAACCACAATAAGGATGAGGATGTCGTCGCTGGCGATGGTCCGTCTGAGCATAACTATGACTCTGGACGCTTGAATGATACAGAAGAGGCCGAGTCTATAGACCCGGATTCTGGTGTTAAGCGTGGTCTGAAGAATCGACATTTGTCTATGATGGCTTTGGCCGGTATCATCGGACCTGGACTTCTTGTTGGTGCAGGTGGTGCATTGAATGTCGGAGGACCAGCTGCATTGCTCATTGGATTTGGTGTTGTCGGTATGATACCCCTTGCTTTCAGGGCCTTGAAGAGAATATGGCACCAGATGGTTCTATTCGGGGCCCTGGTCTTTGCAGAGTGCAATGCTAATTCTTGGCAGGTATCATTGCCTTTTGTATTATGCAGTCCCTCGGCGAGGTGACAACACTATACCCTGGCGGCGGCTCTTTTATCTCTCTCGCCGAACGCATGGTAGACAAGTCCTTCTCTGTCGCCGTGGGATGGAATTACTTTGTTATCTGGGCCGCTGTCCTCGCCAACGAGTACAATGTCATCTGCAGTATTCTCACATATTGGGGACCAGTCGTTCCCCTATGGGGTTACTTCCTCATCTTCTGGACAGTTTTCATGGGATTCCAACTTCTCGGTGTTGAAGCTTTTGGCGAAGCCGAGTTCTGGCTTGCGCTTATGAAACTCCTCGGATTAACAGCGTACTTCATCTTCGCCATTATCTACGCCGCCGGTGGTTTGGTCGGTCAGGACGGATCTGTTGGCTTCAAATATTGGAGTGACCCGGGAGCCTTCAACGGAAATGGCTTCCGCGGTGTTGCGTCTGTCTTCGTTTTCTGCTCGACATTCTACTCTGGTGTTGAGTCTATCGCTGTGGCTGCTACTGAAACGAGAAATCCTGGCGTGGCAGTTCCTCAGGCTATTCGACAGGTCTTTTGGCGTATCATCTTCGTCTACATGGGATCAGCTTTCTTCTTCGGAATCACCTGCCCTGCGAATGCGGAGGGACTGGTGAACGGAGGTTCCAAGGCCCTGCAGAGTCCCATGACCATTGCGATTCAGAATGCTGGCTGGCAAGGAGGTATGTGCACGAACTTCTCTCCTCTGCAGAATACTAACAAAATTCCAGGCGTCCACCTTATCAACGCCTTCATTCTCCTTACTTGCCTGTCCGCTATCAACTCATCCATCTACTTTGGCTCTCGAACCGTTTTCTATATGGCGCAGTCTGGCAAGGCTCCCAAGATATTCGGCTGGACCAACAGTCGAGGTGTTCCAGTCTGGGCAATTTTCATCACCAATGCTGTCGGTTCCATTTCCATGATGAATGTCTCTACTGGTGCCTCCAAGGCTTATAGCTATATCGTCAACCTATCCGGTGTCAGTGCTTTCCTTGTCTGGGGCAGCATCTGCTTTATCCATATCCGCTTCCGTCGAGCTTGGGTTACTCAGGGTCGCAGTCTCGATGAGCTTCCGTACAAGGCACTCGGCTTCCCATACCTCGCCTGGTTCGGTCTTGGGGCTTGTATTTTCTTGGCTTTGGTTCAAGGGTGGACTACATTATCACCGTTCAATGCTGGAAACTTTGTGGATGCTTATATCCTGGTGCCACTATTTGGTATCATCTACGTGTTCTGCAAGCTTTTATGGCGCGGAAAGGATCCTCTCAAACGTAGCTGGAGCATCGATCTCGATAGTGGCAGAAGAAAGGATCTGGATTACAAGAGTGGCCCCTCAGAGAGGGGTGTCCCTGGCCAAACGCCTTGGTGGAAGAAGGTATGGGCTTGGTTCTGATTTGAATCAGTGAAATTATGGAACTTTCGGCTTACGACGACGGGCTTTTCATGATACCTATTTAGCTTATGATTGCAAACAAACATAACTGGCTTCTCTATCTCCATATGTTGTACATTGATATAGTCTACGAGATTACACTCTCAGATTGGCATCATTGCGAGAATACAGAAAGCACATAGCATTATTCATCACGAAGTAGCAATGTAAAGTTTTAGAGGGACAGCTGTATATTTATAGATTAAAGCTTCATTACTCCATTTTTTGTCTAAGCTTTGCCACATTAGACATGACCAGAGACGATATCTCTGGCTGTGTCTACTTTGTCCCCTCATTCTTATGTGTACGATCGTTTAGGGGGACAACAGAAACATGCTCTCTTGGCTCTATGCTGAAGCCCACGGCCATCTCATTCCAGTCCGCCATTGCAAGGGCAACGAGCTCGCCGCCAGGATGCTCTGGGGTTCGCCGGAACCTTGCTTTAGCAATAGCAGCAGCATAGGAATGTCTTCCCGTGCGGTCAAGGGGCATTACCTTGATCATGTTTTGCGGGCAGAAGTTGAGTGGAACCTTGACCATGACCATCTCAACGCGGTATTCGGGATCAATAGGCCATGGAATATTCCTGTCGGCGATGACGTTCATAGCAGACCTGACAAGATCATGCGTGATGTAGACGGGGTACGAGTCCGGTATATTTGGACCAAAAGTCACAAGCTTGTCTCCGAACAGTGAGCGGAACTTGTCGCAGAGAGAGACCTTGAGCATGTTGAATTTAGAGCTTGAAAGCTTGTGACTACAAGATATCATGATCATCTGGTAGTGGAGGATTGACAGAATTTGGCTTATAACGGAGTCGTGGTCCGTTATATAGACAGACGGATAATATAAGAAACATTTCGTTTAGCTGTTCAGATGGACACTTCATTCACCAATGGCTACATGAATAGAAGTACTGAACATCCAAGCACCTTCTTTGTATTGATAAATTCACCAGGTCCAAATGAGCAATTCTCTTTGTTCTCACTAAGATACCTACTTACTTGTTCAGTAAGATATTCTCAGTCACAGACGAGAAGTTGTTCAGAGACAAAGATGGACATTTCATAGACTTGTCGAGACAAGAGTTTTGTTACTCTGTCGCTCTTCTCACGTAAGCCAAGACGGCCTGCTCTGTTTGTCGACTACGATCCATCACCACATGGAGAATCTCAAGATTGGCATTGTCCATGATGAGTGAGTCGTTGTATACTGCATTGAAAGCTGCTTAGTGGTATTTAAAAAGATTGGGGCACTTTCAATACGATATTCTGAGTTGTATAGAGCACCTTTTCTAACAATACATATAAATGTGGTACAACAATCTCTTTGTCAGTCAATGATGCTATTCACACACATGTGATACCTCATTCCAGGTCGGACTTATTGATTCCCCGGTTTAAGTTCAGGGGCACTGCAGGGGCCTGTGCGGAGAGCTCGGGAGCGGGCTGGCGGGCGACCACAGTGCTGGGTTCCTGTACATATTCTTCTTGTGTTCTGCACCAGTATATCACGAAGCTGGCTCGTATCTCGAGTACCTGTACATCTAGCCCTCTGTCGATCTCATTGAAGTGATCGCAACGTGCCCCGTTGCGCACCCTCTTGAAGCTCCCAACAGACATCGACAATCTCGACTAGTGATCTTACATCACGATCGACGATTTACGCATTAGCCAAGCGTTTCGCTCGCTACAGCTTCTCCAGCAATTACCGACTCGTACAGGACAAAGACACATCTCCTCTTCAACCTCACCCACGTCATACGCATCATTCAGATAGCTCCTTTCCACCAATAAGTGGGCTATCGCTATCGTTATCGCCGTCGAATGCCTCATCGCCGTATCATGAAATTTAGCCCGGGTGCTACTGCGACTTAATCATATTCACCGATAATAATCTCTCACGATCGAACAGCATTCGTTCTGCATGTGTCACCATCCCACTTGGTCCGTCCACGATCTATATAAACGGCACCCAAACTCGATCCAAATACCATCCTCAACGTTGCGACCTAGGGAGGTCGAGTGAGCTTCGAGACGGCCGGTTACAAGTCGAATGAATGCAACCTCTAAACCCCTTTCTGGCCGCCTTCTTTAAGAGCTCCCTTCCTAGCCAGTGCACCCCAGTACATCACCACATCCTACTGGTTCCGTCAACGGATGTGCTTCTCACATTCCGCGAGACCGAGAGCGGGAGTGCCCCTGCTGAGGTCATCGCATCAGAGGACTTTCTCGCCAGTCACGTTCTCCGTGTGCCATCTCCAAATGGCGTCGCAGGAGGCAAGGATGGTGCCCAGAACTTGAGGGAGGTGAGAGGAAAGGCAAAGCAGTTTACAACGCTCAACGGCAAGAGTGTGGTTATCAAGGACGCTTTCATATACAGTAACAAAGGTGCGAAGCCAAGAACTGGCCAAAGGCAATATTACTAACCGAGGATAGGCTTCAAAACACTCGCCCAGGCCCAGCTTCTGAACGACATCGTCTTCTACCCCGACGTCTTCGAACCACGGCAATGGCTTCTCTACTATATATCAAGACCCCTTGTGGGCGTCTGGGAGGAGAACAAGATTACACCAGCCGTCTTGGTCCCCGGTGTACGAAAGCGCAGGATTTCCGATCAGAAACAGACACCAAACGCCGAGTCCACTGAAACCACTGCTCCCCGAAAGAAAGACATCAAGAGCTTTCACGACCTCCTGAACAATTTCCCGATGATTGCGCGCCAGATGCAACCGGGCCTTGAAAAGTTATTCGTCGAGTTCAGCAACGTCTTCCGAAGTCCACTACCTCCTCCCCCATCGGCCGAGCACATTCCAGATCCCCCACCGAATGGGTCTATCAACAATGCCGCAAGGCGAGCGCGCTCCAATAGCGCATCGGCAAGCACGGGCGACGAGGGCAGATTGCCAGTGACGGAGAACTTCTATGCTGAGGACGACGAAGATATCATGAGAGCGTCTCTTGAAACCGCAGTCACAACTGCAATCGACCTCTTCCAAGGGGTCGACAAACAGCAACTTTCTCTTCTTGGCGCAACGACTGATCTGACTGGTCCTCTTGTGGAGAAACTGATTGAGCGTTATGTCACAGAAAATGTTCACGGTCAACTTTGGCCGAGACTCAATGCACTGAAGAGACCTTATGATCTCGAACTGGAAGCAAAAATCAGAAAGATGCAGTTTATCGATATTTCGCAATTAGGCATTGCCATTGATGGCGGTTCGAAGGCGAAGCATGACCTTATCATTCAACTAGGTCCGGCCGTTGATGAATTCAAGAAGATATCTGCGGCCACTTGCCCTCAAGTCATGCTGGATCTTTTATTATCAACAATCAAGATTGTGTCCCGCTTGACGGATTCATCGAAACCTCAGGCAGCGTCATCTGATGCATCCCCGGAGAAACCCATCATGACTATCAACGCCGATACCTTGGTCTCATTCTTGCTCTATGTGGTCATCCGATCACAAGTCAAGCAGTTACAGGCCCGCCTGATTTACGTCAGGAATTTCATCTTCATAGACGACGTAGACAGCGGCGAGTTGGGCTATGCGCTCAGTACATTCGAGGCTGTGCTGGCTTATCTTGTTCTTGACTCGGCCGGCTTAAGGCGAGCCAGCAGGAGAAACAAAGCCCTATGGGACGCGGCGAAGACAGGAACTCTGGACGACCTTAAAAAGATAATGGAACCAGGCGCGGAGGCTGCAGATGACGACGAGCTGTCAGAATCACCTACGTCCAGCCGTCGAGCATCTACAGTGTTGAATCTCCAAAATGACACGAGATCGACAGGTCCTTCAAGATCTAGAAGATCATCACTGCGACTCTCTTTTAACGATCCGTCACCATATGAACACTATTCTCATGGTTCGGGATTGAGTCATGTATTCCCCTTCCAAGCAGAGGGTGACGACGAAGCACACGCACACGACTTTTCTATACCAATACGACGGGTGAAGAAGGTAGCGATGGACACCCGAAGCATATCAGGCGATTCCGAAGTTTCATTCCACTCTCGCACGGGGAGCGTTGGGACCATCGGCAGTGCTTTGGAAGGGGACATTTCAGTGAACCGATTGTCACAGACAAACAACTCTTTTGGGGAATCAGTTCTTATGATGGCCATCCAGGCTGAGCGTGCTGAGACGCTCAAGTACTTGCTCTCCTTGACCGATTATTTCTCTCCTTCTTTTGTCCTAGATGACATGAACAACGAAGATACCACTTTGCTGAGTGCTGCCATACAATTAGGCAATGCTCAAATTATAGATTTGACACTCGGATTTATCATCATGTCGACAACTCCTGAGCAATTAGTTTCATATCTGGCGCAGCAAGACATCTGGGGACGTAGCTGTGCTCATTACCTCTTCAATGCACCGGCTTTGATCACTCGAATCGGGCACCTAATACCTTGGCGACAAAGAGACAAGAACGGGCAAACTCCGCTCTTCGCTCTTTGTCGCTCTTATGATCATAACAACTATCTGGAAATGGTGGAGGCTGGGCTCAACGCTGCAGCTGCAGCGCAACATGATGGAATGCCACTCCATATCGATGAACATGTTGACAACAAGGGCAATACACTGCTTCACATTGTCAGCAATGCTAGTCTTGCCATGAACATACTGCAGTTTTGCGACGTTGACGTCAATGCGACGAACGATAAGAGGTTCACAGCGTTGATGGTAGCCAGCAAGTATGGCAGATACGACATGGTCCGCACTCTGTTCGCCGATCCAAGAGTGGATATAGGGGCAAAGGAGATCAGAGGCCTCACAGCAGTTGAACTGGCGAAGGATGACGACGTGCGGAACAAGATCGATGATCTTGCCTTGTTCAGCATGCCCCCTGGGCCAGATGCACGTATCACTGGTGTGGTCAGGGCATTCTTCGTGGAAGATGCGACAGTGAGATTGGTGTTGAAGTCAGCGGCTCCGACGGATCATGATAGTTATACGGTGACAACGAGTCGTCGCTCGCTGTCTGATTTCGAACATCTCCCTACCCTTCTGGCGCTTGAAAATCCAGCTTCGTGGATACCGTCACTCGCCGATGTTCGCTCTCCGTTCCAAATACCGTCGAAGCCATCACGAGCCATTCTGCGAGACATGCAAGCTCGCGCAGACTGGTTCTTGAAGATAATGCTAATGCACCCAACTTTTGCCACGCACGAGATGCTATGGGAGTTTTTCCTGGTACCAGAATTGCAGTTGGATATGATGGAGCAACGGACGCTCCTCAAGACAGAAGCGAGAGCAGAGAAGGTGCGAGATGAATATGAACCTGTGGAGGACGTGAGGGAGGTGGAGCAGTTTGTCAATCATGCGCGAGAAATGATCCGGAGCGTGAACTACTCGACTAAGAGTGCGACCAGACGCGCCAACAACCTCGGACTCGTCGCAGCAGGTACGTACACTGGACGAACATCGTGATCCAATGGATTTATGTGAGCTAACGGGTGACCAGACATGTACGATTCCTCGGTGTTGCTTCATCGAGCTGTTTCAACACTGCAATTCCTCCCTCCGAGATACATAGATGCGTTTGAGACGTATGTGCGATCCATCGTCCCCACCCAGTCAAACGCGCAAGCAAACCTTCACTCGTCATTCCTGGCTCTGCAATCTACGGTTCAGGCACTGCTGGCGTCCTTGTCTCGGCCACCCTCCATCATTTCTCAGATGAGGGCGGCCAAGCGTGAGGCCGACAGGAACTTTAATTCTCTTAACAAGTCGAGGTGGCCGCTGGGTCTCCTGGATGATACTAGACAGCGATTATATGATGAAAAGGAGGAACGAGCACGGAAGTCTCGGGAAGAAGCCGCGAATCTTGCGAGGGAACTTAGATACACACAACAGACAGTGGCTGGAGAACTAGCAGGGTGGCAGGAACTACACGAGAAGATGGGCCGCCACGCCATCCGAGAATTTGTAAGGGGGATGGTCGTGCAGGAGAGGATGAAGCTGGATGGTATGCTGAGAGCACTACGAAAGGTAAGGTTGCCTGATACGATTGTGGTGGGTAACGGGACTAGAACACCAGGCCCATCACAAGTGAGGAAGCCTGAAGAAGTCGAGATGGATGAGAGCGGGGATAATAGCGAGGCTTGATGGGGAGGGTAGTGTTGGGTGTGGATACGATACTGGGGAACTCCAATCCATAAGATGAATATCAAGCATATCCATACACAACACCATGAAGACGCGTGATATGGCAATGAGGGATAGAAGAAACGCGTCGAGTGGCGGTGGAGCACATGTGCTTGATGCCAAGCAGAAGCTGATCTGCATGGGTTGCACGAAGCGAAGAGGGGGGGCTGGTAAGGCAGAGACAGACAGATGAGATGAAATGGATGGACGAATACCAGTCGCTGGCGAAAGAGACATAGAAAAGTTATTCCGGGTCACTTACATTCAGCGTATATCCTATAAACAGCGAGCCATTCTTTTGAATAAGCTCTATACAGTTGGCTATTTGGACGGAGTTTAGGCATGAACGTCTAGAGACACCACACCATTACAGGGAGATGGCAGATAATTTCCATTGAAATGAAACGGAGAGAAAAGATCCAAGAAAATACAGAGACTCTAGGGTATTGAGTATGCGTTGAGTGGCACGACGATGAGGCAGGCTGTGAGTACCTGGCATCGTGAGGTCCACCACGGGAAGCAAAGTACACTACGGAGAGGCACAAGAGACATTGTCGCACTGAACACAGGGGGCTTGCGAAGGTGTAGGGGTTACAGAAGAGGTAAGTGGAGCGAGATACAAGCGTGGACGTGGTCGCGTTGGTCAAAGAAAGGCGTTTTTGCCCGTCAAAGCTTGGCGAGAGACTAGGACTAGGATAGAGAATGAATGGCTAAAAGTTGAATGAAACATGAAACAAGAAACGGCAAGACACGCGGGAAAACGCAGCACGTCCACGATAGTCTGCAGCAGATACCACCCACCTCCACTACCTACTACCTAAGGTAACATACAGCCTACTATACCTAGCACGTAGTATACGCAGTAGCCTCTCCATATTCTAGAGCCCCAGATCAAAGAAAACTTCCGCGATAGTTAGTGGACGCGATGTCTATTGGCTGACGGCGCGTGGGATCCTGGCGCGTCGATAACAGCGAATGAGAGTCAAGAGCCAGGTCGCGACACTCAAGCTCGACTCTCCAAGAGAACAGGTCGAGGCTGTGTAAGTCGAGAAGAGAAGAGAGATGAACCAAGAAGTCTGGTGGACCGACAGCAAATTTCCGTAGCCGCGGAGAATGGTGCGACGATGGGCTTTTAATCAAGTCAGACACTCACTCACTCACTCGCTCAATTTGGCTGTGGATGTATTAAGCGCCCGTTAGGTAGAGACAGTTAATAAATTAAACGCCCGGCGGTTAACGGCAGCGGACAAGGCAAGGGCCAAGGCCACTGAAACCACGCGAGAGGATCTGCTTCTATTCTGAGACTTGGTTTGAGAGAGGGAGACAGATTGAGGCTCATGCTCATACGTATGCTCTTCTAAACGCCATGTATGTATGTATGAGCCGAGCTGGGTGGGCTGTTCTTATGGCGCTACTCTACGGGAATGTTTTAGATTTGGGCCCTGGGGGGAACAGCGATGACCCTGAAAATGGAACGGACGGCTGGTTGTCCCTCGCAACGAGAAACTGGTGTAAAACGCGGTGGTAAATAGATTTGGGTGCAGAACACGCTCTGGAGAGGAACATCGCGACTTGTACGTAGAGAGTCGCGTTCTGGTGTTGAACCGAACGAACCACGAGAAAAGAGGGAGGGATGGAGCTAGATATGCCGAGTCAGGGATCTAAAAATGAGTCACAAGCGCTGGGCCATTCAGCGGCCAGGCTCGTGCATTGACAGACCCAAGCCGAGAACCGCGATCCTTGGCGATGATCATGACGCCTGGGGTAGTATTACACATTGCACAGTGCATCGCCGCTCTCGCACTTACACGCTCTCCTCTCAGCACGAGGCGCTTACAGTGTCAATACGCATCCGCCAATCACGCATCGCCTCTGCAACTTACACCTCGAGATCGAAGCGCGTCCGCGATAATTCTCTGCAGAGACAGAGAAGGAAAGAAAGAGACGTGTTTCAGATTCTTCTCTTTCTCGTGTTCCCAATGAGAGACGACTTGTCTAATGTTTCTTGTTTCGTGGAGAGTCCAGGGGATCGGATGGGTCCTATGCCGGAGCCCACAGCCTACAGCCCGCCAGCCGCCCATCGCCAACCATTGTCCTTCTCTGCTTCATCGACAGCATAAGAAGACGGCCTCGCCCTGGGTCTCTGGTCCTCTTTCCTCTGTTTCTATCCAGCATCTTTCATCGTCGGCCTGTCTTTTACCAATCATCTCTAATCATCCTCACTCTCCTCTTTTCCCATCTATTGTGATCCGGTATCACCATCACCATCACCATCATCAGATCAAAAAGCTTCACAGCAAACTTGCAAGTCTCGCTGGCTCTGAGACTACACTCTAACCAACTCCAAAAACCTTCCGGTTTCATCTTGACCTTTTTTTTACACGGAGCTGGTCTCCCGATCCTTGTTCATACACTTATAGACTCTCACTAATACTTCCCACATCATGTCCACGTAAGATATTCTCACTAACCAGCAGAGTCCATCCGCCATACATAATGCTAATACACTCTCAAGAAGTCTGGCTGTCGATATGCCCTTCGACTTCAGCTTCCCATCTGCCTCTATTGAGCGCACAAGCCCTCCTCCCATGTCAACTCTGCCCTTTGACCAAGCCTTTCTCGACATGGCCTATGCTTCAGCTTCAGCTACTGCTGCTGGTCATATCTCTGGTCACTCTCGCTCATCATCAAAGGCTTCAGTCTACTCTGCCATCTCAGCCGAGTCAGACCATGAATCTCTCTGCTCCCGTCTCACAACGCCTCCTCGTGCTTCACCAGCTGTTCGCCAGCATGGCCCTCTTCTCCTGCCAAAGATTCGCTCTCAAGACCAGGATATTGATGCCACCCCTTGCCACTATCGCATGACTACTCCTCCTGCTCCTAACCCTGCTCGTCACTCAAGGAGCTACACCAACCCCGAGTCTCTTACCATCGCCTTTGACACTCCTGGCTCAGTCAACACAAGCTTCTCCAGCCAGCCTGACGACACTCTGTCTGCGTCACTCCTGGCATCTCCGGCCGACTTTGCCACTCGCATCTCTGCCTCTCACTCACGCCGTGCTTCCAGCCTCGACGTCTCCACAATCGATCGTTATGGCTACCCTACCTATCGTCAGATGCCCTCGTTCGTTCCCGTCCCCCAGCACCAGCAACAGCAACAATCTGACTACGGCTTCTACGACTACAGCCCTCGTGCTCAGTCTCCTCTGAGCCTCACTGCCACTCCGGACCCTACTCCCAATACCAACCTTCTGAGCTTCCTCACCTCTTCCAACCCAGCTGCTTCTCTGGTCCGCCATATCTCGTTCCCGGTGCGAGATGCTGCCACTAAGCACTTTTGGTGGGATGTTCGCAACATTCGCTCTTGGTCCTCTTTCAACGCATCTACCATCCTTTCTCTTCCCGGTGCCTCTCTTCTTCTTACGAACCCTGTTCCCGCTCCTCTGCTCCCCCAGCCTACTTTCGCATCTCGTCACCCCGAGACTGAGACTCAGCTTCACTCCATCTACGCGTCGTACTATCTCCCCAAGCTGAACTCGGCTTTGGCCATGTCGTCAACTCGCCCTCTTCACCTCTCAGTGCCCCCCAAGACTGCTGGCATGAACGATCTCCTCTTTGTCGCCAACGCTGCCGGGGAGTCTGCTACTGCCGCTGCCATGTTTGGTGGCAAGCCCACTGCCCGAGTTGTTGGTATTGTCCGCAGCTTCGACCGCTTCAACACTGGCATGCGAGTTGAGGGCAACATCAAGCGTGTTGAGTATCTCCGTGGCCTCTCAGCTATCCACCACGCCATGCGAGAGCACGGGTGCCGCTATGGGTTCATCCTCACCGAGATTGAGCTTGTGCTTGTCCGCAACGGCACTACCAACACTCCCTTCTTCGGCGATCTCGAGGTTACATCAGTCCAGCTCGCTGCCTCTGCCCCTGAAGGCGACGCTTCGACCCTTCCCCACGAGACTCCGCTCACTGCATGCCTCGCCCTCTGGGGTCTCTGCCAACTTGCTGCCGACGACACACCCGCCGGCCATGCCCACTGGCGTGCTGAGATCGGTGCACCCGCTGAGGGAACTCGCCGCAAGGCTCAACCCCGTGACTCCTGGATTCCTCAACCCCAGCTGGCTGAGAAGCGTGAGGCCAAGAGAAGCCGTGGATGGGTGTGGCCCGAAGACGCCATCGGCCGCAAGGAGCTTGGAAAGCGAGGTGTTCGATATGGAGGAGTCTAAGGGCCTGGTGCCTTTAGCAGGATGATGATGATATGATAGATGATGGATGACTGGAAAGAAAAGACATGGTAATGAATGAACATGCGAATTGTAATGAATTTAGTATTTAATTAAACCCCTTCAAAATCACATTGACTGCATCTTGGTGACATTAGCTACTGAAAGAGTACGAGCCAAGAAGTCCAGCGTCTTTATCAGAACAAAGCAACTTGGACAAGGGTTTAAAGAGAGACCTTATTACATCTGCCTACACGCCTCTGGCTGTCTAGGTACCTAGATAGGTCGTTAAGCTTGTTTATACACGGGCTGTATCACCATTATACCACCTCGACATCCCACAGTGCCTAGCAATAGACTTAGAAACAATTACTATATTGCATCTCTTGTACAACTGAAATAAAAAAAAAGGCACGCCTTAGCTTAGCCACATTTGACATTTGGGGACATGGTTGCTCAAAAGAAGGCGTTATACCTTTTCTTCCGTGCCTGACTCATGTACATAAAACGACTTACACAGCCAGTTTGCACAACAAAAAAAGCCGTCATCGTATAGGGGTCAGTACATCAGTTTGTGGCTCATTCGAAGCACTGAAAACGCAAGTTCGAGTCTTGCTGACGGCAAAACAATTATCTTTTGCCATTTTTTTTTTTGCAAATCATTCATGTTATTGGCTCAGATATGCTGCCCTGTTATTTTGTGCAAGGGTTTTGCCCCTCTTAACCCCGCCATCATGGAAGACGAGAGAATCAAGGATCAAGGTGGAGTGGCGGGATGCTGTCCGGCAGAATGAGGCATTCTGTACTGAAATGCAGAGAAGTTGACAATATAATGCGGCTTGCTTGCCATGTTACATTGCTGATCTAAGTAGATCATGCTCAACTTGGTAAATTGCATACCGAGTTGTCTCAAGTATATCACTGTACATGGAAGTAAGCGATGCTGTTTCGAAGTTCAGCAAAACGAAAGTGTTGGCGCTGATGATGCAAATGTCTCCTCAAATCCCATTACATCTCCAAGACGTAAAGCCATTATAAGAATCTGTCACAACAGCACGACAAGAAGCTGTACGTATAAGGTCATAGTATAGGGAACAGCAAAATATAAAAATTATCCTCATCGACTGGTGATAGCCATTACAAATGTAAATTCATGGGGACATAAAGTTGATCTTCATCACATCATTGCATTTAACTTTTTTCTATGGACTTAAATACGCCTGGTGGTGTGGTATCGAGAGCTTAGCTCTTGGCGGCACCAGCCTTGATGTGCAGGATATCGCCGTCCTCGACGACGTATTCCTTACCCTTGGTCATGATCTTGCCCTTGGCCTTGACCTCGGACTCGTCACCGAGCTCCTTTAGGGTGTTGTAGTTGAAGACGAGAGCCTGGATGAAGGTCTTCTCGAAATCGGTGTGAATGACACCGGCAGCCTGAGGCGCCTTGGTGCCAGTTCGGATGGTCCACTGTCGAACCTCATCAGGTCCAACGGTGAAGAAGCTGCCAAGCTGAAGGGTCTTGCGCATCTGAAGAATGACCTTGGGCAGAACAGAGTCGGCTCCGACGTTCTTCTGCTCCTCCTTGGCCTCAGCCTCGGTCTCGAACTGAGTAAGACGAGACTCGTAAGAGACGGAGACGGGAATGAGAGGGTCGCCCTTGGCGTTCTCGTTGATCCACTCGACAATCTTGGGAAGATGCTTGTTCTTCTTGCGGATGAAGTCCTTCTCAGACAAGTTGACGAGGTAGACAACGGGCTTGGCGGTCAGGAGGAAGAGAGGGTTGATGACCTCAATCTGGATGAGAATGTCAGTGAGGGTTCTCATGAGTTTTTTCCAACATCAACAAGTGTGAAGATTTACGATCAGAGTAAAGTTTATCTCACAATGCCTCTAGCGTTAATAGGTGAGGCATTCGACGAGCTGGGTTATAGATTCAGGCCTTATGGCCTTTTGTCATCAGGAAAGCAAGATGTGAAGAGCAAAAGAAATGGAAGAAAAGTTCTTACCTCCTTAGGGCCCCAGGTACCCTTGCGGACATCCTTGCCCTGGTTGAGCCAGTCCAAGATCTTCTCAATGGTTTCCTGTTCTTGCTTGGCCTTCTTCTGCTCCAGAGACTGGCCACCCATGCGGGTCTTCTTCTTCTGGTTCTCGAGGGCCTTCTCAACGAACTCAATATCCTTGAGTCGCAGCTCCTCGCTGATGATGTCAAGATCACGGGTGGGGTTCACGTCACCCTCAATGTGGATAATCTCGGCATCATCGAAGCAACGAACAACCTGGAAGATGGCATCGACGGCGCGAATGTGCGACAAGAAAGCGTTTCCAAGACCAGCACCGGTTGATGAGCCGCGGGTAAGACCAGCGATATCGTAAACGGTCAAGTTGGCGGGAACAACGGACTTGGGCTTGTACTTCTCAACGAGCCAGTCGAACCGGTCATCGGGAACGACGACGCGGGCTTCCTCAGGGTCGATGGTGGCATAGGGGAAGTTCTTGATGCTGTCAGCACCCCGATACTAAAGACGGCGGATGGCGAGGGGGCTTCATACAGCTGGGTTACCGAGGTTAGACTTGGTAATGGCCTGGAAGAGAGTAGATTTGCCGACGTTGGCCAAACCGACCTGGACTATGGTTAGCACGTGGCATACATCATCGATAGGATATTGTCACGCACAATACCACTCTTCAAGTTGTTTCCAGGCCTGCCCAGAGGGATCTTCTCCTCGACGACTTGCTTCTTAGGAGGCATCTTGCGTGACTTGGCGTAGTTACGACGTTGAACGAAGAAAGCTAGGCCCAAGTGTGTGGATGGAACGTGTCCAAGAGCTGCAGAGCTTGCTGCGCGGGGTGCAAGAGGAGGAAAAGAAGCGAAGAAGATGGAAGATTTGATGGACTTCGTGGTGAAGTATTCAGGTTGGCTAGTGCCAACCTCGGACGGCTTCGAGAGCGAGAGCGACGACGAAGAGAAAGGGAAGAAAGGGAAGTTGAAGAGGGAGAAAAAATATTTCTCTTTTTATTTTCCGCGAGCCGAGCTTGGGGAGATGAGATGAGAATTTGTTCGTGACCCCACCTTGCTGGGGTTTAGAGAGGTTGGGCTGTGCCAAGATCTTTCGGATAGCGGGAAAAGGTAGTTCCGGCTGGAATTCGAAGACGACGTCATTGGCTGACGAAAGCAGCTGGGCATAAAGGTACCAACCAAGCTGTGCGCAGAAGGACCCTGGGCCTGGATCCAGGATCCAGTGAACAGGCACAGTATGTCACGGAGCCTAGGCCCTGTGGTTTTAGGTGTCCGTCTTTGGAAATGCCTGACCTGAGTTACCTGAGGTTACCTAAAGTTAGTAGAGAGTAGTACAGAGGCAGAGTGACCTAGGTTTTGGATTTCGCCGGGCTTGATCTGACAGGAACGACAGGAGCTCAGCCGGGCCGGCCAGTCCGATTCCTTCAGTGATTTCCTTTCTTCTTCACTTCTATTCATCAACCTTTCAAGTTAGAATATTCATCTTCTCTTCGTGCCCCGCGATTCTTTGTCTTGTCAATACGCCTACGGACACCAACCTACAGCACTATAAGCCTCATTGGCCTGCCATTTCCCCAGCTCAGCCCCGCTGACCCGTCAGCTGCAAACCCCAAAGCTTCGAGCCACTTGACGTCGCAATAGTTGCAGTGTCTGTATCAGCTTTTGCATGATGCCGCGTCACAAGAAGAGCTCTTCGGTGAGCAGATCTCACCGCTCAACATTATCTTTATCCAAAACTGAGATCACTATACATGTCTATGATCTACTGCCAGTAAGTGAAGTCGCTCACACTCATCTCACTAGCTTTCATGAGCATGACGCTGATACGCGCGGCATGACAGCCCGGCCGATTATCGTCCGTATTATGGACAGTAGGCGCCTCACTACTTCATTCGGGTGTCGTGATCAACGGGAGGGAATACGCCTATGGTGGGCATGATAAAAGAGGCCTCACGGGTGTATACTGGACAAAGCCCCGGACCGAACCGCCCGGAGGCACTTTTCGATGCGAGATCCTGCACGGATTCACTCTTGCGACAGAAGACGAGATTAATGCGACTCTACAATCTGCCTCTGAAGAGTTTCTGGGCACTTCATACAACCTTCTGACCAAGAACTGCAACCATTTCACCTCTTATCTTTGCAAGAGACTCACAGGACAGTCAGGCCCATCATGGTTAAACCGTGCCGCCAGTATCGGAGTTGCGCTCCCTTGTGTCGTCCCTCGAGATTGGATTGAACCACCCGAATACGACACCAGCGAAGGTGCGCTGTTGGATGATTACGACAATTCGAACGACGATAACTCTCATACGTTGAAGAAAGCGACGGACCCCCATCTGCTAATGGGAGACAACGATAGCAACGAAGATGACGAGTGGGACAGCGCAGAAGAAAGACGACGAGGCGGCAGTGGGAAGGGCAAGCAGGCCCTCCGCGATTCCGCCGGGCGTCGTTTACCACCAGCTGAGAGGGCCATCCGATGATAGAGTATAAATGAGGCTGCGGTGTTAAATGGAGTTTGGCGTTTCGAGGTACCGTTTCCATGGGTTAGCACGATACCAATGGCTTTATAGTCTAGGAGCAGATCATTCGTTTGGGAACTTGCAAGCAAAGCAAGCTGTGCCTTGTTCGTTTGTATAGTACAGGTCGTACAGAGTATAGTACATTCACTTTCTCAACCTCCGCGGCGAAGTGATATTCTCATGTGAGCATATTCCCAAAAATGTGCCCGAGTTCCAATTCCAATTCCAATTCTAGTCCAAAATTCCAGACTTTTATAGACGTCGAGGTTTCTCACTCCTGGTACCACCAAACTTGATTCTGGTCGAGTCGGCTACACGGACAATCTTGTCTCGTAATACCTTGCCCTCGGGGCTCATCAGAACCTTCAGAGCAGCCTCTCGTCCCTGACCGAAGCCGCGTAGCACAACCTCTAGTCGGTTCATCTTCATGGGCCAGCCGTTGTGGATTAATCGCTCCAGGACATACTTGGTGAGGGAGTAGGCGGAATCGAATAGACCACGGCGAGACTTGCGGAAACCAATGTTGCCGGCTGACAGAGAGATAATTGGTTCTCGATTGGGCTTGGTGCAAGTGATGTGGGTGTTGTGCTTGTGGGAGTAGATGTGGAAGTGGTATGGCTCGAGATCGTCCTCCTTTGCCTCGGCCTGTCGACGGGTATCTCTGGATAGTGGGCTCGTATCGATGTTGGAAGACTTGTCAAGTGTCTTGAAGACAAGACTTTGGGAGAGGTTGGCCATGGCATTGTTGGGAGAGGATCTCGTCTTGGACGTCTCTGAGGGGCCGTAGATGTTCTCTAACAGCGAGGCCGTACTGGGTCGGCTCGGTGCCCTTCTGGGTTTATCATCGCGGTTGGACTTTGTCTGGGAGATGGAGCGAGCGATTTGAAATGACGACTTTTGGACGTTGGCTCGGGAGGATTGAAAGAGCGATTGCGCCGCGAGGCGACTTGTCAATGAGCGACTCATTTTGTTCGCATTTGCCTGGACCTGTCGTTAATTGATGATCTACCTCCTGGCAATTTTTACTCACGGCTGTAAACTTCCCCCACGAGCCGGGGCTGGACGGGGAGCAGTTCTACCGAGGCTTTGCCGTCTCGGTGTTTGTCTTCCTTGACTTTCCGCCCCCGGACCGAGATCGCAAACCAAAATTTCGTCCGGGAATTCCACCACCTTCCACCATCCATCTCGGCATCTCTCCAAACCCACGCCCAGTCTTTTTTTTCTGGAGGGATTTGTCTCCTTGTGTTGTCGTAATAATGAACTCCCTCGCAAGAAAGACGGCCTCCTCGGAGCTCGCCTTTTCGCGGGCTTCTGCTCATGTCTCATCCGCTGGCAGATCTCCCGCCTACCGAAGATTAGCATCCCAGCTCTCTCAGAATGCCTCCAACAACGGTGCGAGGCAACAAAGCTCAGTGCTTTCCGGCTCAGTTCGATCACCATTGAGGTCTTCTTTTGTCCCCGCCGAGCTTCGTTACTCCCCCACTTATACCGCTCAATCTCGTCTCTTCCACCTTTCCAGCCGCTTACACCAAGAGAAGCCTCAAACTGAACAAAAACCCTCAACTGCTGCACCCACCGACGCAAAAGAGAAGAAGCCCACTGAAGCTGGCGCCGAATCCGAGGCCAAGCCCGAAGAGGAGCAGTCCAAGAAGACCGAGGATGGTGAGAATGCCGGAAAGGAAGGAAAAGAAGAGGGCGAGGGTGAAGGTGAGGGCAAGGACAAAGATAAGAAGAAGGAGGATGCCCCTCCCCCTCCTCCTCATGGCGACAAGACCCCCTGGCAGGTTTTCATGGAGACCATGAACACTGAGTTCCAGAAGTCGCAAGAATGGAACGAGTCGACCAAGCAGATCGCTGCGTCTGCTAACCAATTCGCCGAGAGTGAAGGTGTGCGACGTGCTCGCGAGGCCTACGAGAAGTCCACTGGCGCTGTTTCCTCGACTCTTGGAAAGGGTGCCAAGGTCACTGCTGGCGCCATTGGCAAGGGTGCTTCTTGGACTTGGGATACCTCGGTCGTCAAGGGTGTTCGCAAGGCCGCTAATGTCACGGGAGATGCCGTGGACAAGGCTACCCAGCCTATCCGAAACACGGAGGCTTACAAGAATGTCAAGAACGTCATTGACGATGGTAGCTCTTCACGGTACGGTGGCTGGGTTGAGAAGGAGGAGCGCAGGAAACGCCGAGAGGCACTCGACAAGCAGCGGGGTTACAAGGCGGCTGCACCTATGGAGGAGGACATTAAGTGAGTATCCTTACAATCTCTCTCATTCGAATCTGGGCTAACAAGAGACAGTGCTGGCACCAGTGTTACCGTTCACAAGGACGCTGCTTGGAAGGAGGCTTGGAGAGATTTCCGCGACCAGAACAAGTATGTGCAAGGACTTTTCAGCTTGAGGGGCAAGTATGAGGAGTCTGAGAACCCTCTTGTATCGACCGCTCGAAGTATCACCGACCGCATCGGAGGCTTCTTCGCCGAGAACGAGACTGCCATGGTCATCAAGAAGTTCAGGTCCATGGACCCCAATTTCCAGACAGAGCCTTTCCTTCAGGAGCTTCGAGAGTACATTCTTCCCGAGGTGTTGGACGCTTACGTCAAGGGTGATGCCGAGACACTGAAGCTCTGGCTTTCTGCCGCTCAGTACTCTGTGTACGAGGCCCTCACCAAGCAATACCTACAGGCTGGCATGAAGTCGGACGGAAAGATCCTGGATATTCGAAATGTCGACATTCTACGAGCCCGCATGCTTGATCCTGGTGAGGTTCCTGTCTTCATCATCACCTGCCGCACACAAGAGGTTCACGTCTACCGCAACGCCAAGACGAACGAGCTTGCTGCCGGTATGGAGGACAAGGTCCAACTGGTCACTTATGCCATTGGTATCACACGAGTACCAGAAGATGTCAACAATCCCGAGACAAGGGGCTGGCGTCTGATTGAGATGCAGAAGAGTGGACGGGACTGGTACTAAAAGAAACAGTCATTTTAACGCGGCGTCAAGGGGTTGGGAATCTGCCTTTGTTGGATACCTATGAGATGAGAAGGAATCGAAGGCGAACACGGGAGCATCGCCTAATGTGTGTTGATTACTGTAAAATATGTTCTATCATGTGAAAATATCAGGGCGGGCTCTCGACACGAAAAAAAGACAACACCACCAATACCACCACAACCACCACGACACAACACGACGTACAACTATCAAACAAAACAAGCATTTTCTGGAGAATGGGTTTGGGGCTGTTAAACAGCAAGAAAATTGACTACTACCACGCCGCTCTGCTTGCCTCGGGACGAGGCTCTTTTTATGTATGATTATGGAGGGGAATAGGGGCATTGGGCCGGGCATCATTGGTGGGAGGAAGATGGACTTATAGACATGTTCAAAAGTTGCCTTGGTTTTCAAGGTCGGTGCAATCTATCCAGGCGTATAGCCGAAACAGTTCAAACAACCATTGCCCCGTTCTTTGACAAAGTGAAATCCGCTTGCACGGCTCAATATTGTTTAACAGCCCAGTCGTGTCGCCACTCATGCTCCTTGACCGTCCCGTCTCTCTTTCAAGATCCTTCTAACCTCCATCAACTCCTTACCCAGCAAATTCTCACCCCACGAGTCTCTCGCAGCATCTGCATCTGCAGCTTTAAACCCAACGCCCCAAACCCGATCAAACGGACTGGCCTCGACAAGTTCTCTGTCGCCTGTGTTGATCAACATATCTGCTAAAGAACCATCAATGGGCCAGTGTGATGAGCTTGGTTGATTTGCACCAGGCGTGCCTCTCTTGAAACCCTCCTCTGTGATGGCACGTGTGAACTTGAGGACGTTGCCCTTTCGAACTATGTCACGCCGATGCTTAAGCCAGACTGTTTCGTCAAAGTTCTTCACCTGGCGGCCGAGAGACTTGACCTTTCGGGGATGGCCTGTCTTGAGGACCTCAAGCGCGGTGGCTTCGTCGTTGAATAGGATGGCCTTTTGATGCATCATGTAACTTGGAATAGGTCAACATCGACCTTGAATTCTGTATCGGTAGAAGTGACTGGACCTACTGCTCTGCCGTTTTGTATGTCTTTTTCTCATCCTCGTCATCCTTGAAAGGACAATAATACCATTGTGATAGGTATCCTGTTGCTGGGTCTGTTTCACGCCAGAAATACACTGGGCCGGGATTTGATACTGTAGCCATTTTTGCTGAGTAGCGATGAATAGAGATACGAGAATTGAAAGAAAGTCTTGACGAGATTTTATACATTTGTATCTTTCGCCTGGATTGAAAGTGCACGTTGTGACCGTGAATGAGGCTGTGGCTGAGTATGGGCAGTTGAGTCAGACGGGGAAGCCAAGGTTGACTTTCTTGCTGTGGCTTTTTCAAGGTCGACTCGTACAAAAGCATGGAACAGATATAGAGAGTCGAGAAACCTGAGTTGTTGCTCTCTTTGAGGCTGAAGTGCCACGGTAGTAATAGATACACAACGTAAGCTGTCTTAGAGGGACATGTATCAGAGATGTCCACCACTCTCATGTCCTCCGTGTTATATCGGCAGCAATAGAATAAAGCCAACTTAAGCAAGATGAAAGCAACTACAGATAGGCCACTTCATTTAGAGGCGTATTGCTACGTTATTCGATATGGTTTCCGGTGTGAGTCATGCATGACTTGCTGTTGATAGGGTTTAGCACTCTTGGCAGAGAATGACCAAGAGCTTGAATGGTGAGGGATCGAGCAAGTGATTTGTTTGAGTATGTAAATGCGTACCTATCCATCACGAGACGTTATATATTAGATCCCAACACATTGTATAGCATGTATTTCTCTTACAGGCTCCACCATGAGCAAGCCCAGTAATGAGCCATGGTTAGGTAGTTGTAACGACTTGAGTTATGTAGCCCAGAAGCCCACATTGGCCATGCCACTTAACACAAGCAGAAAGATGATTGGTATGCAAGAGTAATTTACCATGACTTGCATACCTAGCCAAAGCCAGTCGTGGTTGATAATCGCCGATGCCGTCAGAGCAAAGTTATAGTACCAATTAAGATAGTTGCTGCTATCCAACATCGGGGGCTTGGTGTAGGGGGATCACGTTCGCTTTGCATTGTGTCGAATGCTTGCGAAAGGTCGGGGGTTCAAATCCCTCAGCCTCCATTTTTGCCCTCAACATGTTGGGCGATACTTTCGAGGACTTCTTTTTCGCTCAGTATGATCGCATTGGATAAAGAAGATCATAAAAGAAACCATTTCTTATGACTTTGGCTGTTTTTGAAGCTCCTAAACTTATGCTGTGAGTGATGTTAGCAGCGGCAAAATCACCTGCTCTAACATGGATCATCGTTACGAAAAGCTTTGGATGAAAAGAAAACAGAGCCTTGTAGTTGTAATAATGCTTCAATCCCCAGCTGTCTTGCCTTGGGGGCCTCAATTAATGCTGTCGACTTCTGAGCTTCATCCTTTGCACCACGTAATTGCCCCTCATGTCAGCATCTCGACTGTATGGAGCTCTGGCCAAGTGTTTCTTTGAATCATGGCAACACAAGGTCATGAGACAGATAGCCCGTGGTATTGGATCGCGGCCAGCTTCATGTTTGAGCAATCTCAAGGGCATAAACCAGTTGCCGGAAATATTACCGGAGGCTCCGAAGCCAACTTCCGTCCAAAACGCCGCGCCGGAGCATAAAGTGGGGGAGAACCCCAAGGAACCACCGGGAGCTACGGGGGGGAGGGGGACCCCATCACTTTCTTACCTTGGTTCTTGGTTCTCCAACATCTAACAAACACCTTCACTCAACCATCTCGGCTGAACTCGACACTCCAGGCACATCATCAGAAGAGACATCGCAAAGATGGAGCACGTCGAGCAACACATGGCTCAACAAGCCAGCCAAGAAACGTATGTCATCCCCCCTCTGCTCTCTGAGCTCCGTCACTAACTCCCCCCCCCAGCGCTTCCCTCTTCACACCCCTCAACCTCA